CTTCTGAACGACTTCACCAACACCAAGGATGAATTGCAGAACCTAGAGAGTGGCACCGATAGCGAGACCGAGGACGAGGATCACGAACAAGATTTGGCTGACCATGAAGTGTAAGTCAAGCAGTTCTGGAAACTTTAACGTGAAGAAAGCTGTTGATTTCTTGGTGGAGGCATGGGGGCAGCTATCTGTGGCAACGATTCATCACGCGTGGCGTCATGTGTTGGAGGGTATCCCAGGTGGGAGGCAGAGGCAGGCGGTGGCTAGAGAGGCTCAGTCTGTTGTTGTGGCATTGGAGAATGCAAGAGAGGCTGCACAAAGTGTTAGAGTTGCAGGCTTCTCCGAGACCACCAACGAGGACATCCTGGAGGTAATCAGGCAACCTGAGGTGACTGCAGACAAGATGTTGCAAGATGATGATGTCAGTGAGCAGCGAGGTGTTACAGAAGAACAAGAGCAGAAACTAACACATGCCGATGTGAAGGAAATCATCAAGGCAGCTGAGAGATTGAAGCTCCTCCTTGCCAACAACCCAGTCAATCATCGCTACGAAGTGTCTAATAACCTTCAGTTGCAATCCCTGGAGCCCTAAGTTAAGCTGTATCACGACCACATCAATGCTAGCTGTCAACAAAACATCACCGAGTTCTTCACCCGCCACCCACCACAGCCAACCCAAGTCAGTGATAGTGAGGATATGGACTTTGAGGGGTTTGACAAGGAGGCCCTGCTAACCTCTGTGGTGGATAGAGATACAGGTGATACAGGTGAGGGCCAATAATCTGCCCTCTGCCTCGGAACCAACCCCCCATCCCCGTGTGCCCAGCCATCTCTTCTACTAACGTAAGTGTTAAATAATCTAATACCCGGTATTATTGATATTTCTCTTAAATATTAATTGTGTGTGCATACCATCATAAAATTAAGATGTTAATTTTACTACAACGTACGTATTGTGTCGGCAATAGCCCAAAAAAGGGTAGTCTGGCGGTCGGCCCAGTCTCTATTTCAATTAACCTCATATGTTCTGTCATTTTATTTACGCATTTCGCTTTATACGCAGACCTCCATGGGTTTAATTAGGCGCGTAAACCCCAAAACTTTAAGCCTAAAACTAACCTTCACCCTGTTTTGGGAATGCTTCTTAGGGAGGCTTCTTAACCCAGTACCTCAAATTTTTTGTCCGACTTCCGAAATCCGGATTTACCATTGATTTTTTATTTTGCCGCTTGCAGCGGCTACTTTATTGTGCACCCCACACTCATCCTGTGAGCGGTAGCGCAAAAGGATTACAGAGTAGGGTTTACAAAGGGTCATAATAATTAACCCCGGTTGTCAGGATATTATGGCACCGAAAGTTACACAGTATTTCATTTACATTATTTGTTTAGTTCTATACATAAAGGGTAACTTATTCACAAATGCGTGAGAACAGGCGTGTAAGGCAGTATGTCTGGCCTCACACTTTGTTATTCACATTTACCAGGTCCTGACCTTCGAGGGTTTACTGTACATACATAAATAGGCCAGAGGAGAGTTGGTTTTGAACACTAGCTCTCGATGGCAATCAGCTATGAATTGGCTTAAAAAAAATTGAGTAACCAGATACCAAAGATGGTGGGGCTGTAACTTTGATGGAAGGTTTGTTCCATGGGTATTAGGGTGTGTCATAGGAGGGAAGATCAGCTAACACTAATGGCCCATCACTTTTTTGGTAGATTTTAGTGTATATAAACAGAAAATAATTTCAGTTTCAATATTTTGCAACCTTTTGCTAGGTAAATTTTAGCGTGAAATTTATCGAAAATCTAACGTACAGCTGCATTAGTGCATTACAATTAAATAGTGAACATTGCTTTCTGACTTCATTCTTTAACAACCCAACTAACAATATTTTTTCTGTTTCAGATTCTGATGCATTTATAAGTTGATAATATTTGCGATGCTGCTTGTGTCAGGACGAGGAACCAAAATCCAGCCATCTCAGTCACTATCTTGGGTCTGGGAGAGCTCCTGAAATCGGAGTTGCCTACATTGAGATGCTTTGAGATACGGTGTTTTAATCAGGCAAATCAGTGAAAAGAACCCAAGAACTTACACAAACAAAGACATTGCCAGTGATATGACCAAAGCTGTCTTGGCACAGTACACTCTGGCTAACGCTCAGTTCAAGCCTCCAGTCATAACAAGTCAGAAGATTAGTGAGAGACTGCTAGCCAGTTGGGAAAAGGCAAGAGATATCTCTCTTGAGAGAGGAAAACTTGCAGTTAAGGACAGCTTTGCCAAGCAACTGGACCAGTTATTTGACATAATTACTTGCAAGTGCCCAATTGTTCTCTGTCCTGAGTTTGGAAGTGATCGTGACTGTAAATCCGAGGCCCACATCTCCTGTATTTGCAAGCGTGAACTGAAGATTCCTGTGATCGAACTGGCATTTGTCAAAGCACAGAGAGAGAAGACTGGCAGTATAGGGGCTTTCATGATTTCTAGCCAAGATATTCCAGAGTCCAAGAGACAGGAGGCTGCCACAGAGAGACAGAAGAGGAGAAGAGTTGCCGAGGAAAAGAGACTTGAGAAGGCCCAGGGTGAGGTAAAAGAGGCCGATGATTGGAGTCAAGCTGATTCAGAGTTTAATGACTTCCCCATGGCTGATCCGAGTGCTGACTAGGAGAATGGTGACTTCAGTTCCAACCCAGAAAATAATGATCCCCAAACCTTCCAGGCATAAGATTCGAAATAGGAAAGATATCCTGAGCATAGCTTGGCCAGCATGCACACCACACTGGTCTCAGAGAAACTGCAGAGATAGCAAATAGCTGCCTGATTTGACGGTGGTTTGATAACACCTGATGATGTTCACCTGGTGATAGATCATAACAAAGTAAGGGAGAGCTCAGGAGAAAACTGTCAGTAACCTAGAAGAGGAGGTTTGATAAGGGATAAGAGAAATGGAATAAATTGTTTGTTCTTTGATGGGAGAAGGGATGACACTAAAGTGTTCATGAAAGTTGGAGATTCTGACAAGTTGTTCCCTGCCATGGTGAAGGAGGAACACTACTCCCAAGGTAGTGAACCAGGAGGGAAGTATTTGTGGTGAAGCCACTGAGAAAGATGACATCAGGAAACCAGCTGAGATAGTGGCAGATAACATTGTGAACTGGCTCAGAGAGAGTGAACGTGACCAGACCCTGGTGCCATTGGAGGGACAGCACCAACACGCAACACAGGGTGTGTGTAAGGGGGTCAAGGCTAGATAGAGCGGAAGATTGGGAGGAAGCTGGTCTGGATTGTTTGTGACCTCCACACCAACGAGTTGCCACTCAGACATCTGATCCAGGAGCTGGATGGCAAGACTCTTTCAAACAACAGATGGTTTGGTCCTCTTGGCAAGATGCTGGACTCTGCCACTGAGTTAGAAATAAATCCGAGCTTTGAAAAAATCACAGTTGGCCTTCCACTCGTTGAGCTTGCACATACTGTCATTGACGACCTGAGTACTGACCAGTACTATGGTTACATGATTTGCAGTGCCATCAAAACTGGGGTCATGCCTGATAGACTTGCTTACCTGCAGATAGGTCCAGTCTCACATTCTAGGTGGCTCACAACGGCTCTCAGGTTCTGCAGAATTTGGGTCGCTCATCATAAACTGAAAGGGAACCAGCTTCACAACCTGAGACTTATTGTCCAATTCATCGTGAGTGTCTACTTGCCAAATTGGTTCAACACCAAGTCAAGTCATCGTTCTCCGAAGGTCCGAGGCATGTTCTCTTCCAGCTTGACTCCTGAGAGTCAGCCAAGGAAGGTTGTTCGGGTGTGGAGCAGACTGTGAGGAGATCTTCCTGGCATGCTCATCCGAGGCAGTTCTGCAGACAATGCTCTGCAGTAGGATGGGGAGGAGAGTGGCAGTCAAAAGATCTTGGATATGGGACTTATGAGAGGATCTGGGCATAGCCGAATCGATTGGTGGCGTTCCCTTCAGGGGTCAGGAAGACTCTGAAGTCCAATCTAGGTACCAGGCCTCACTGATCTCATAGATCTGGATAACATCCAGGCTGGCAGTGAGCCCCTCTTACCTGCAGCCTCACCAATGTTCAAGTCAGAGCTTTCCTGGACAACCCCATGCATGTCCCTGCCTGGCCCTCGCACACCCAGAGTATAGAGCGTTGTGTACAGCAAGTGAGCGAGGCCAGCAGTCACGTGTACAGCCAGGAGAGGAGGGAAGGCTACATCCGAGCTCAGGTGGTCAGCAGGGAGGTGATGAGTAGAAACAGAAGCAAGAAAGACATGTTCTCTATGGTGTGCAGCAACACCGGGTCGTAGTAGTAAAACCGGTTTTTGTATTTGATTATTTTGTTTTCTAAAGGAATATTAAATTTAATAAATGTGTCAAGATCATTCGTTTCACTATTCTGGATCATTTTCATCCTAATAAATTAACCTGATACATTTACTTTACTTTAAATAAGCTATTTAGTGGTGTTGGTAAAAGGGTGTGAATACTGAATTTTCATAAGATTTCAAGTTAAAATTTACCTAGCAAAAAATGAAAACTTTTCAAATCTGAAGATATCACTTTATTCTGCACATAGAACTACATCATTAATACCATGGGCCGATTTTTCAAACTCAAAAAAAAAAAATTTGCCTCCGTATGACACACCCTAAATTGGGTATAAATTGTTCTAAATAACCTATGTCCTGGAAGAAAAGCAGTTACACTTGATTTCCCCAATTTCAAGGAGTTAATAGATCAACCCTGGCTGACAAAATTTGGGGTCATCTTAGAATACACAACCCCCAGTAAGCAGCCCATATTAGGAGAAGCTGTTTGGCAAAGAGCATATGGCAAAGAAACTAATTACAGAACTGTACTGTACGTACCATAGTGTACTGTAGTGCACTGTACTGTACTGTAAATATCAATAAATAAATCACTCTGTAAATATCAATACAGTAAATAAACCACTGGAACTAAGGTTACTACAGTTAATATTCCTTACCGTTTTTTTTAGCTGTTGTGCCACCAACTTAACAAAGAAGTCATTACCCTCGGCCTCCGCCACAAGATTGAGGAGCTGATGGTTCGTTACCCTACACTCGTTCAGAAGTTTGAGAAGTTCGGGACCATACTTGTGGAGGTGTTCTGGATAGTCTTTTGACAAAATTCCAGCCATTATGATGAACATATTCTGGTAGCTGGAGATATCGTATGAATCCACATTTTTGTGAAGCTTCTCTAACATGTCTTCTATGGTTTTGATGGTGTGAAGTTGTCCCTTGGCAAACAGTAGAATGGACTCCACAATATTTTTATCCACTTGCTTATTAACAAGAAGATTTTTCATTTTTTCTAAAATATCTTGAACATTATGGTCTACACACATTTGATTAATAAATCCAAGTGCAGACAAGAATTCCAACTTACTCTTGTGAGGAGGTGCTAATATTGTTGAATATCCATGAGGACCCCATTCTCTGTACACATCCATATAGTTCTCTAATAAATCTGAGGAGGGCAAGTCATTTGAATCACAATAACCTTCTAATTCTTTGGTACATTCAGGGGGCATCTGCAGTGCCCCTTGAGACAGTGCAATGAGGCATTCCTCATACAAAACACCAAGGAAGCCATCACAGAGCCTTTTCCATTCATTTCTGTCTCTGACTTTTGAACCATGAACAAGTCGCTCAAGCAGGCGCTTCTGTGCAAGATCATGAAATGTTGTGTAGAGTCTGGTAACTGTAGTTACCTTCCGAATATTGTCTGACTCAGTTCTCCAAAGGTAGGTAAGCAGGGCTAGATTTAAAGGTAGCTTGAATTGCTCCCCCATCCTTGCATGTGAGCATTTCAAGAACTCTTCTAAGCTATCAATCATAGAACTTACAGGTTCCTGTATATCCTTTTTGAGGTTGAGAGTATATGCATCATCAGTATTGTATCTCTGCAACTCATGCATAAATTTACTAATGAATTCCTTTTGCTTGTCAGGATCAATTCCCGTGAGTCTGATGTGTTTCCATTTTTCTGGTTTAAGGCAAGAAAAAAGTTCAAACAGCCTCTCTGGCCGGGTAGTACAAACCAGATGGACTTTACCACAACTTCCTGGTATTATGCGCTCTTTAAGGTCTTGAAGAAGTTTCTTCGAATTTGTGTTCCACTCATCTGCTCCATCTAACAGTACAAGTGTTTTCATTTTCTGAACTGCAGTTTCCAGTTGTTTCTCTGATAGCAAGACAGATGTGTTACCTAGAGAAACATAAAGAAGGTCAAGGAAGGATGAAATGGACTTATTTCTGCATTCAGAATGTAGTAATAGTTCATATTCATGTAATCCTTGAATTGTGTTTTTTTCCTCAGGAGGGTTAGCCCATTCTGCCAGAATGAGCTTAATAAGTGTTGTCTTACCCATCCCTGCCTCTCCCTCTACCACCAACACTGACACCTCTTGTCCATCACTAGTTTCAAATAATAGCATTTTATCATGCTCCACATAATTAGTCCTGTTGCTATGATGCAACTCTTCCACAACCTCCACCTTAGAATACACACTCTGAATCTGTAAGGATTCTACATGAGTGATAAAAGATGCTGGGTGTATGTTGGATTTTGCCTTATAATTTTTCTTGAGATACTTAGTTAAGTCTAGAATATGATTTTTCTGCTGATCCTCTAATTCTTTCATTATCTGAGCTGTCTGCAAGTCTGGCCCCATGGGGGCATTTACAATCTTATCAATATTGTCTTTCATCTCAGAGATACGTCTGTCCACTTCACCTGGATTACATTTGTCTGAGTATCTTTTTTCAGCAAGCTGGTAGGTAATGGAAAGAAGTTTCTTGACTTCAGTTGCCAAACTATTCAACCCCTCTACTGTTGTAACTTCTTTTAAATGGGAAAGGTCATTGCGGTGATTCTTCACCATACTTATGAGGTACTCTAATTTTGTATCATCAGGTGTAGTCCAAATTTTGTCACCACACTGAGTTAGGTGATTCAGTGGCAGTCCTAAACATCTAAATAACAGTGAAATATCAAAATCATTACCAGTCTTATCACTGAGAATTTGTTTATGTTGTTCTTTTGAAAATCTTTTCATGTAATGATTTTTTTCCATTTTCATTTCATTAATGACATAATCCTGTAAGGTATCAGTGTCTTTTTTTGGGCATGCTAAAGTAAAGATATAATGTAGTACTATTCGACCTTCACAGTTGAGAAGCTTGAAGGCTTTAGTTCGTATTAGATCTTGAGGGCCAATGCCATCTAGATGCCGATGCCTTGACATGACAGTAAGTGGCCTCCTCTGCAATATATAAACAAATATGGGTCAGTCATCTGTTGAAAACAAATAAAAACTAATCAGAAGCAGAACTTTTTAGTTTTATATGTTATTATGAACACAGTGTAATTATCACAAATTATAATACAATGTTTAATCAAAAGTGTATGTTGTCAAGGATTTACTGGGAGTTGTTGTATGCTGATGACTTAGTGTTGATAGCAGATACTCTAAGACAAAGGAGAAATTTAAGAAATGGAAGAATAGAATAGAGGCAATGGGTCTGAGAGCAAATGTGGCAAAAAACAAAAGTAATGATTAGTGGTGTGGGTAAGGGGACCCATGTTGGAGAGTAGAAAAAGGCCATTTGCTGTGTGAAAGAAGGGTGTTGGCAGCAACTCAAATGAAAAATGAGTGTGGAAGGTGAGTACTGAATACAAGGAGCAGCGAAGTAGATGGCACATTGCAGGATGATGTTGACTTTAAGTGTTTTTGTATGTGCAGGTAACATTGGAGTAAATCCATGGACTGCATCAACGAGTTCTGTTACCTGGGTGACATGATCAGTGCCAGTGAGGGTGCTGAAGTCCGCACATTACAAGAGTTAGAAGTGGCTGGATGAAGTTTAGGGAGTTGCTACCTTTATGGATGGCTAGAGGACCTTCCCTCTGAGTAAAAAGAAGAATGTATGCGACTGGTGTGAAAAGGTGTGATGTTGTATGGCAATGAAACAGTGGCAGTTAAAAAGGACGACCTTAGGCGACTTGGCATTGTCCTGTGTAGAGGTAAGCTGAGATTGTTTGGGCATGTGAAGAGAATGGATGAGACAAACTGGGTTATGATGTGCATAAGCCTAAATGTGGAGGGCAGGAGAGACAGGGGTAGACCAAGAATGACATGGTGAGAGGTTGTAAGAAACAGTGCCGGATTTAGGGCCATATTCCTAGTCATTACGACGATAATGACGATCACGATCATCATCACGATGCATCGTATGTCGGGATGCAACCACCCAACGCTGAGCGCCATATTCCTAGTCACTTACATGAGCTTGTAAACACGGCAGATCGTGTCGGATGGCAAAAATTTTTTGGGCCATGTGCGAGCGCCAAATGCATTATTTCACATAATTAGAAAGACGATTTAGAGAGATATTTAGTTGTTATTTTATACCGGCACAATAGTATATCATAAAATATCTTTTTTTAATAAAATTGAAATTTATTATCTGTTCGAAACAAATTACAGATAATTTTTTCATCTGAGTACTTGGCAGCAATGTTTGCGTGGTTGTCATCAAACATGGAGAGGTGAGTGTGTTCTGCAGCCCTGTCAGTAACCCAGCAGATAGCACTTTTGCGCCTTATCGAGCAAAGGCCAGTCGTCAAGAACAGGTCTACTAGTAGTGTAACTCAATAAATGATAGCAAAAGAAAGGCCTGGGATGAAATTACTGCCTCATTCAGCCCCAGCAACCCAGATCAACTCCCTCGCACAGCCAAGCACCTCAAGAGGAGCTCCAACAAAAAGGAGTAAGAATATGCTTATTTCTAAGTTTAGTGCTATTTAAAAATAAGTTTTTTTGCCATTAGGTTACTAAATTGAGTAGGATTACAGTATTTAAGTGACGATTCATGTGAGGAGTCCCACCTCCTACCGAAATAGACAGGAAAGCTCCCATCTCACCTCCCCATTTTCCCTTCCTTCATATACTTTTATGATCTCGTTGAGTTATATATCAGAATAAATGTTTTTTACGTTTACTTCATAAATTATATATGCCTAAATGCTATTGGATGCGGGTGTCTGAGTAAGATTAACCATATACAGTAGAAGTCCAAAAATCCGGACTCCTTGGGGATTGGGTCGGTCCGGATTTTCAGATTTTCCGGATTCTCAGGCAGTACTTTTAAAATTCAAATTTAAGGAGGAATAAAGAAGAGATGAACAGGTACATTATGATAGTTTATTCTTTAGCAAATATAGCATGCTTCATTTATCAAAACGAGCAGTTTTAAAGAAAAAGCTGTGAATTCTAGAATTTTATTCTTTGCCTTTTCTATATCATAAATTGTAGACTTTCCAATGTCGTATGTTTCCATTAAAACAGTATTGCTCGCACCACGTTCTAGTTTCTTAATTATTTCAAGTTTGTCACTCAATTTCAACGTGTTCTTCTTTCTCTTCACACAACGAAGTTTATCTACTTTAGGAGCCATTATTATGGGCTTGTACAGTACTCTGTAAATGGAAAGAGTAGGACTCAAAATTACATACGTTGTCGCAGTTTGATTGCTCGTTTTAAAGTGGCGACCGCGTGGTCGCTTGTTGTCGCCAGGGTTGCCAGATGTACGACAAGCTTCACGGCCAACATCACGCAATCTCACGGCCAAATCGGCCAAAACTTTTTGGATGGGAAGCACAAGGCTATTTTTGCAATCCACGCAAAATAAAAGTATCCCCTACAATATCCACTTAAAATGTCGCAATAAAACCAAATTTTCACTTAGAATAGAGGGCCCAATAATTACATAAACATAATACAGTGGGGTATGCTATAACGAATCTAATTGGTTCTAGAACCTTGTTCGTTATAGCATTCGTTCGTTATAGGATTAATCCGTTCCAGGCCACCAAATACAACCACTTAACACTGAAAAATATAATATAAAATTGTAAAAATTGTAAAAAAGTGCATAAATATGCATCTAAATCCCTGAAATAACCAATATCATTAATACTTGTAATAAAAAAAACAATAAATTCGTAAAAAAAAAAAAAAAAAAAATTTTAAATAATGTTCGTTGTAGGAGTTTTGTTCGTTATAGTATTCTCAATTTTATAGGTAAAACCGTTCGTTATAGGAATATTCGTAGTGGGATCCGTTCGTTATAGCATACCCCACTGTATCTATAATCTACGGTGAAGATTTACCTTAATCTGAAATGGTGGTGGAGCATGATAATGGTGGAGAACTTGATAACACTAGTTGGCGTAAGCAAAAACGTCTAGTTCGTCATCGTCCCCTGGTTTGTTATATTTTGTACCACTGTCGTAGGACCCTTTCCATTTACTAGTGGACATTTTGAAAACTAGCACTCGGAATTTCAGAAAGTAACTCGGATGGCTTTGTAAGCTCTGAAGCTTAACCCATATGCTGGACACGTTCAGCCTGAACAACTCAAATATGAGAACTAACAACAAAGGTAGTAACTAGAAAGATCAGTCAGCTCAGTAGGTCACGTAAACATGTGAAGAGGTGAGGTCACTGATTAGGTGAGGTCATGACAAGGTGAGGTCACTGAGCCAGCATTTTCATTGTGAAATTTGAAAATCTGCTAGACTTCTCTTCAAAATCCACTAGATGAGGAATGAATACGTGTTTTACAAAATTCGGCCAAATAGTTTGGCCGTGACCATCCACTTTTCCACGGGCAGACGAAGTTTTTTTTTACGGCCAAATTCATCTAATTTGGCCGTGGAAACGGCCATCTGGCAACCCTGGTTGTCGCTGTGCAGCTGTGGTGCTCACGCACGCGCACATACACACAAATCCCCGCAAAAAAAAAAAAGTTTGAGTTTTCGAAAAGTCCGGATTCTCCGGTGGTCCGGATTTTTGCACTTTTACTGTTGTTTAACATGTGAAAGTGTAGCTATTGATTTATTTTTACTCCTAAGAGTGCTAGGCTAAAATTGTGTATGATATCTAAAAAAAATATGAATTCATAATGAAGGAACTGGTATGCAGGGTAGAACAGTAAAAAATTGCCTCAGCCATACTGTGTAAGATTCTCTTGTTTTAAAGCCTTAATTGCCAGTGAATAACTTGAACCAAACATGGAATGCTAAGAATTAATGCTTTATTTTCATGTTTTATTTGTAGTAATAATTATATACAAGAAATGATAACTACAAATTTGTTTTAACACTACAAATCGGTAAATAAAAAAAACATTGATAAAAAATTATGGTTTAAGTGAAAAAAAATTGTGTATCAGCCATATTTAATATTTGCTTTGGTAGGTCAAGTTAAGGTAAGGTAAGGTAAGGTAAGGTAAGGTAAGGTAAGGTAAGGTAAGGTTATGTTAGGTTAAGTTAGGTGAGGTTAAGTTAGATTAAGTTACAATTAGGTTAGATTAATTTAAATTTAGTAAAAGTTAGGTTAGGTTAAAATAAAGTTAGGTTAAGTTAAAAATAGGTTAGGTTAAGTTACAGTTAAGCTAGGTTAAGTTAGGTAAGGTTAGGTTTTTTTAGTTAAAGTAAGGTTATTTCCATGTTTTTTGCCAGTTATTCACTGCCAATGGGTGGCCATTGTCATAGAACGAAGCTATACAGCATATTATAACTCTATATGAAACAGGTATTATTCTGCAGATTTGGTGTGCTTTACATTAGTTGCCTGGAGATATTTTACGACCATGACATGCACCAAGAAAAATTGACAAGTATGGGGCTGGTGCCCCCACATAATTAGCAAGCCAAATTATTCCGGCAAGATAAGCTTCAAACAGATATAGGCTCAGTTTCTAAAGTGTCACCTCAAATGACTTGTCAGAAGCATATGAGTCATCAATACTAGCATATCATAATAATTTTTATAGCAGATATGACTGTAGCCGAGTAGATACGTGTTAGACTGTTTTAGGCCTACTTCAAAAACTTTTTTCTATACAGTCGGCCCTTAACATACGCGGGGGTTACGTAACAGAGATAGCCGTGGATGTTAAAAATCCGCGTATATGTGCTGCCCCCCCCCTCCCCCCCCCCAAAAAAAAACCCTGGCCCCCATGTCCTTATTTACCGTATATACCTGTGTGTAGTTCGAGTTTTTAAGACCAAATTATTTGGCAAAAAATTGGGGGTCGACCTCTAAAAGCGTAATAGTTTCGTTAGGTTGAAAAATATTTACCAGTAACTGGAGATGTTCCGGGTACTTGGTTCTAACTACAGAAGTGAACATAAACACCTGTAGAGTTCTGTAGGTTCTTATTAACGGAAATATACAGGGGTGCGCTTACAAGCGCA